AATAGCGATAACTCTATTTTTAAACACTCTATGCACCTCTCTGCGCGACACACACACACACACACACACACACACACACACACACACGATAAATAAAAGTAAATAAGAGGCCTACTAGGTAGCCAAACTGCAACTTATGTTCTGGACTCCTACAGGGTCCATGGGTGAGTGTTGGGGAATTATCATTATAAACCTGTTATTCAAACTGCAGCTAACCCAGTAATACTGCTGTGAAATTGAAGGCATAGTAATGTGAATTTTTAATGGCTCAGAATAGAGTACTTTATGATGGAATGAATGAAATGGAAAGAAAAATATGAATGAAACACAAGAGTAAGGGTGTTGCTTTGAGAAATGTTATACTTATGTAACCAGGGAAGGTGTATTTCTCACTAAGGAGCGTGGAAAAAACCTATGTGAAAGTTAGGTTTTGTTTAATTTCCCAAATTCACACACACACACACACACACACACACGCACGCGCGCGCGCACACACACACACACCAACCCATGCCCCCACCCCCACCCCCGGATTCCCAGTCGCTTAGATGCCCTGCCAGCTCTGGCACAATGCGAACCCGCCGCAGGCGCGGGCCTCCAGCCCACCAGGGGGCGCTGCACGGAATCCGGTCGCCAAGTGTAGCACGGCGCACGCGCCCGGAAGCCTTTCCACCCGGGACACATTTTCGGTCCACAGGCCGCTAGCGTTTCCTGTGACGTATATCCTGTTGGCCGCGCGGCTCACGTGCGTACGAAGAGGAAGTAACGTCACCCGGGAGCGCGCAGAAGCCGGGCTGCGGCGCCGCTGGGAAGCGTTTCGTCAACATGGCTCACCTGCCGATGAAGCTCCTGCGCAGGAAGATCGAGAAGCGGAACCTCAAGTTGCGGCAGAGGAACCTAAAGCTGCAGGGTGAGATGTCCAGGCCTCGCGGCGCCGCGGCGCTTGGAGCCCCCGCGTGGCCGTGGCGCGCCTGGCGTGTCCCGGGCCCCGGCGTGGCGGGCAGCGTCCCTACAGCACGTGTGCGAGGCGGCCTGGGATCCCGAGCCGGCGCCCACTCGCCCGGGGCCTCAGTCTGCCTGGCACGCTCGCTGGCCATCGGGTTCCCCTTGCTGCTGACTTAAGGCAGGAGCCCCCAGGCTTTCCTTCCAGGCCTCCAGGCGTTCCTCCTGCCAGACCAGCCTTTCCACCCCCACCCCATTCTGACTCCCTCTCTGCCTGCGGGTCCCACCTGGTCCCCACCTCACCCGTTTCCGAGCAGACACGTGCAACTCCCTCCGTGCACCTTGCTTTTGCATCACCAGCTTAGTGTCTGTGTCTTCACAGGAAGCTCACTGTCCCCTTGCCGCAAGGCTTCCCCCGCCTCTCCTCCGGTGGCACTCCGCACTGACAGCTCGGGGTCAGATGCAAAGCCTCCACCCTGTGCTCCAGCACTTCCAGCCCGAGTTTATAAATGCCTGCGTGTTTGCATCTTGCACAGAAATACATACAAAGGGGTCCTACCTGCATGTCACCTTGCTGGCCTACCTCGTTTGCAGCCCTACCCTCTGCCGGTGAGCCGGAGGTCTTAAGCTGTTCAGGTTAAGCTTTCGGGGTCCTGAGTAATAAGATGGAAACCTGCGAAGGCGATTTTTGAGGTCCAGTGTTTCACCCCAATTGGTTTTCAACAGAGATTAGCTGATTGGAAGAAATCCTGGAGGAGCAAGCGTTGTGGGTTTTAGAAGTTCCCTTATATTTCCAATTCTTAGACTAGTACAGCATTACTAACTACTTTCCGGTAAAGGTATTGATTACAATAAAAGACGGTGTAATCTTTTTTTATACATAAACATGGGAGCTTTTGGAAAGACATTTTCAGCTATTTATGTATAACTATTGGGACAAATGAGTGGTTTCATCAACAATTTCCAGTTCACTAACATCTAGGAAAGTTCAGGGTGTTTTGAAGTTGTATTTATATGAGAAGCAGTAGTTGTGTGAATAACATGTAAGTTGTTTTTAATATGCCTGTTAGTCATATATTATTAATGTCTATATTAAAATGCATAGTTTGTAGCTACCATTGTCTCACCCCAGCTGTTTAAAAATTTAACCTCTTAAAGTTTTCTTATTCCAAACTTTTAACTCTTGACAGAGATGGTTTTCTGAAATTAAGAAGTGCAGCTTTCCTTTTTCCAGCGTTTTTCCTTAAGAGGAATTTATTTGCAACACCACAAAATTGCAAGTGTTTTAAAGAATATAGTTTATTGACTTTTAGAGAGAAAGGGAGAAGAGAGAAACATCTATGTGAGAGCGTAACGTTGATTGGCTGCTACCTGCAGGCCCCCTACTGGGGCGGGGGGTGGGCAAGCCCCCACCAGGCCTTGTGCCCTGACCTGGGATGGAACCAGCAACCTCTGGGTGTGTGGGACCAGCCACACTGGCCTGGGTGAAGTGGTTTTAATGACATATAGCAGGTCCTCGAATAGTGTCGTCCTGTTCAGTATCGTTCATTGTAATGTTAATGAGATGCCATGGGAACTTACCATTGACATTAAGTGAGGACTTAACCGTATATGAAAGGGAAGCAAAAGCTAAATCATTTCAGTTCTGGACGCCATGGAATTTCTCATTTGAGAGTCCAGCTGTTTCTGAGTGAACCTCCCCTTCTTTGACACAGTGTGTTCTGTTTTAAACAGGGGCCTGGGATGTGAGCCTGTCAGAAACTCAAGATGAAGATGTGCCTCAAGAAACCGTAGCAAGTGGAAAAATTAAAAAATCCCTGAAACAGTCCATGAATGTGGGCTTGTCCGAAGCCCCAAATGGAGATACATGTAAAGAAACAGTGGGAGGTGGAAAAGTTAAAAAATCCCTAAAGCCGTCTGTGAATAAGGGCCTGACAGAAGCCCAAAATGGAGATGTATCTAAAGAAACAGTGGAAAATGTAAAAGTTAAAAAGTCCTCCAAGAAATCTACCGTATTAACCAACGGGGAAGCAGCAGTGCACTCTCCCAGTTCAGAATCTAAGAAGAAGAAGAAAAAGAAAAAGAGAAAAATGGTGGATAATGCTGGGCCTGGTAAGTTCTTCATTTTCTTTGATTTGAATCCATTTAAACTGTTTTCCGTTAGTTATCATTCTCCTTTCTTTATTATTGTGCCCACGTGACATGCAAGGACCCCTGATACTCACTAGTTTCCAGAAACTACCCTACGAGCTCAAGGAAACATTGGGGAGAGGGCTTACACTTTAACTTTTCTCAAAATATTTGTCATGCCTGTACGTTCCCTAACAGCCTTGCATAAGACCTCACTTAAAGAAGAATCTCCTTAGATGTCTAGACATTTGCTCTTCCGCTGCTGATAGAACATACTGTGGCATCATATTTTAGGGTTACCTGCTTGCACACAGCTGTGGAATTACTGGTACTAGAATCTACTTTTCTGGCCTTTGCATGAATGATTCTTTTCACTTACCTCTCTTTTGCCCCATTCCTTTTCCTACCATAAATTCCTCCCTTCTGAAAAAAAGAGTTGGTGATCATTTGGATGTGCAAAGTGTACAGATAGCAGTTAGGAAACTTCTGAGTAAATGGAACATTAACTTCCAAGGGAGTGTAACGACCAGGGCAGTGTTGGGGGAAGTGCCGTTTTCTTTAGGGAGGTGATGGGATGTGGGGAAGCTTAGGTGAGAGGCATTGCATTGAGATGCGAGCTAGCTGAGACTTCAGGGGAGGGTAGAAGCGCAGCTATTCAGCCTTCTGCCATTGTTGTGAGAAAAGCTTTATGAATGCTGCAATACCCACTGTCTACTTGGTCTTCATGGTGACAGACCATGTGGTCTGCAAAACCTAACATGTTTACTATCTGGCCCTTCAAGAAAAAGTTTTGCCAGCACCTAGGTTAGAATTTACTATTTGTCTTGTCTGAAATAAAGCTTTCATTTAGAAAGGAGCTTTGAACTTTTCTAAACGTGCACAGCTGTCTTCATGCTGCCTACAGACGAGCACATTTGTAGGTTTTGAGAAATTGCTTAAATAGTGAAACCAGATAGAAAAAAGCATGAAGATAAAACATTACCATTTTTATTTAAAGTGACTGTAATGCGATTCTAAAATCATTAGCCTCTTTAGGATTCTTTTTCTAAGTTGCTTAAGACAGCGATTTATTTCTCTTCTCAGTCACTGAATTGCAGGGCTGGGGGTTTTAACTCGATGAGTAAACTTTAAGAACTGTCTTAAGGAAAACAGAAGTGATCAGTCATGAAGACCGGCTGGTGATATCCATGGCTTTCGAACGTGTGGGTCCCGCAGAGCTGGCCATTTCCCACAAAGATGGTAGTAAAGTCTCGGGAAGAGGCCAGTCCTGGGCTACAAGAGTCCTGAGTTGTGGTCGGGGTCCTTCTGCTCTAACTAGCCTCACGAACCACCATAAATCGACAGAAGCCCAGCGTGGTAGCTAACCCACGTGACCCAGAGGAACATTGAAGAACATGGTGAACGTGGGGGTAGAGAAGTGAAGAGCCGGGGGCCTTTCTTTCGGTCCCTCACCACTTAGGTTCAAGGACGGCCAGTGTCTGCCACCAGCTGAGTGGATGTTGCCCTGCTTTGTAGTCTGTCTTCAGTGACATGAGCCTTTGGTATTTCTCTTCATCTTTCAACAAAATTAGCTTTTATAGAGACTGAAAACTCAGTGAAGTATATAGAACCTGGTGTAGTTACAATACTTAAATGGTTTAGCTTTTTAAAAGCTGATTACTGAAGATGCTATAATACATTAAGAATCCTAAAATACAAAATTTTGTTGGCAAATCTGCATGTCCCCCTAGGCTCTTAAATAAATATAACCAAATCTTTATGAAAGAGACATTCCTTAGCAAATTAAAGCTGGAAATGTTAAGCTTTTGAAAATAGACCTTTTTGTGTCACACATCTTTTATTTTGTGATCTTGTTTGCTATTTTTATTTGAAGAAAATAAAATGGGGGGGTTTGTTCTTTAAAACCAAAGATACCAAAAAAGCAAAAACTGAAGACAAAGTGGAGCCAGAGGAAGGTGGCCAGGCCCCTGAAGAAACCGAAACCAGTGTGGGAAAGCCAGGCGATGGGGAAGAGGAGAGCGAGGTGCCCAGCCTGCCCCTGGGACTGACAGGTAACCCGGCACGTTCCCCGGATCTTTAAAATGCGCGCCTCTCCCGATTATAAGGTGTGAAGTAAGTTGTGACTTGTGCCTGGGAGAAGTAAATACTGACAAGAAATGGTTAATATCTTAAGTGCAGCTTTTATCTTCCATATTGTGCCTTAGTTTTTGTTCTTTCTCTGGTCTTTCCTTTATTCCTGACAGTGTTTTAATAATGCACCCCAACAGCTTCTGGGGTCCTTTGTTCCTTTGGTTTATCATTTTCTAAAGCTCATTCCATGT